CTAGATGTAAGCACTCCAGAACCTGAAATATATGCAACATGAACTTAAATAATGCAACCACTTCAGAGGATTCACTGTTTACACATCAGGTCCTAACTGTATCCAGATGAGGAAAATGATGCTCAGACAGGTGAAATGGCTTGTTCAAGGTTACACAGGTAGTGGGCAACAGTGGGAAGTCCATTAAAAGGCACAGGTTTTCAAACAGGAAAAGAAAACTAACTAGATGGAGTCCTGACAGGAAATAATAACATTTAAGGAAGGCTGGGCAATACTGGTAAAAACAGGTATTGGGCCAAGAAATGAAAAAGCTGAATTTCACCCATGCATAGACTCAGTCTTTACAACAAGCAAGTGAAGGCATTTTTGGTAAATCAATCCTGGCAGAAAGAAATCAGAGTGGGTGAGAACAGGTTTACCATGAACAGCAGCCAGGGACCTCCATGAAAATGGCAGAGTCTGAAATAGTCTTTGTGAGCCTGAAAAGTGGGAAGGAATCTTTGTGGTCAGAAAAACAAATATCATCCCCAGCCACAGTTCCTCAGATGAGTTTAGACAGTAGTCATCCAATAATGCTCATCGCCTGGAGTTATATTTTACTCTTCTTCCTTCTTCTTCATCTTTCATATTCAATCAGGTTATCAGGTCTCCTCAAACTAGACTCAAAAATACATGCTAGATTCATTCCCTTGTTTATTCCTACAACCACTGTCTTAGAAGAGGCCCTCACTGCCACCCCTTTAGATTGCTACCATAACCTCCTTTATTGGCCTAGCCACTTCCAATCATGCATCTTTCATATTACTAACTAATTTTTCTTGCATACAGAGATAGTCATATCATTCCCCTGTTAAAAATTTTTCTATGGCTCTTTACTGCCTGCCAAATTCAAATTTCTTTTCCTGAGATTCAAAACCTTTCACAATTTGGCACAACTCTACCTTTCTTTAACCAAAAAAAAAAAGTTTTATTAATGCCCTTTTAAAAAATGCCTCTGCCCATTACCAACAGAATCATCCTTTGGAACAACTGAGTCAAGTAAACAGATAAATATTCTAGCCATATCTGATAATGCACCTTTGTTTATTCTGGGCCTACAGAACATTATGTGTTTGTAGACAAAAGTCTACATCATCAGTCTTCTAAAACAATAACTGATCATTTTATTGACCAGAGATCTGGTCTTCAATGTTATTTTACCTTTTACCTTAATATCACCTTATCTTTCCAACTTTATCTGACATTATTTCCTTTAAATATACTCTACCATCCCAACAAACTAATCTGTCTCTGGAATGTTTCATAGGTCTCCACTATATCTGCATGCTTCTGTTTATAATGATCTCTGTCTCTAAAATTCCTTCCTTTTTCCTCTTTGCCTAATGAATACCTATTTTTTAAAGGTCAACTCAAATGTTAGGTCCTCCAGCAAAGCTTCTGCTCTTCCCCCCCCCACCTGGTCTGTAACTTTATCCCCCAGATCTACCAAAGCACTCTTATTCATAACCCAGTAAAGCACTTCTTTTGTTGTGTGTGTGTACATGCATTTTATACGGCATATTATTTCTGTCTATAATGGCTTATTATATTCCTCAGTAGATTCTGAGTTCCGTAAGGGCAGGGACTATGTTCAGTACAACGTTCAGTACATAGAATATTTAATAAATGATTAGAATTTCAGGGCAATTAGTCACTTAGGACTCAATTCAAGTTGTGGCTAGATTACATTTAGTTTTGTATAAGATTACTATGTATTTAGACCTATACAGATTTACTTTTGCTGTAATTACTTACTAATGTTAGTTAAACCCTATCTTGTCTAGGTACATGAAGGGAAGAAGGAACTAACGTCCACATCCACCTCTGTCCTGAACAACTCTGACATCTGAAAATGTTGAGCTAAAGATGGGGTGTACTAAGAGAGCAGGACAGGCAGTTATGTATGGTCTATGCCTATACAAATTGTTGACCTTGAACTTTCTTCCTGCCTTCATCAGCAGACCTAATGATTCAGTGACACTGGCCTCCCTGATGTTCCACAAACAAGACACTTATCTCTGGACTCTGTGTATTTTCTCTGGATGTGTCTGGCACATAATAGGTGTTTACTGACTAATCGACTACTCTGCCTGTACTCAATAGCTAGCGTACTTCCCACCTTCTCATACTTTAACCATTATTTTGACACAGAACTGCCTCTCCCAAATTCAGTCCTTCATTCCCTTGTTTCCATGACCTACAACCCTACTCACCAATGTCTCACTCTACCACTACTCCTACGTTCTTTATAATCTTTAGCCTCTATATACTGGTTACTTCCCTGGTGCCTTCAAACATACTCAAGTCTGCCAAATTCCTAAAAAAAAAAATTCTAACATGTTCACTAATTATTATCCTGTACCTCTGCCCCTTCTCTGCTAAATTCCTTGAAAAAGAAGTCTATCATTAGAGCTTCTACTTCCTCTGCTCTATCTTCCAAATCTTAGCAATCTAGCTTCCCCACCTCATTATTCACCAGAAACTGCTCTCTCAAAAGTTACCAATGATCTCTTAATTGCCCAACACAATGGCCTTTTTCTAATGCTCATTCTTCTTGAACTTTCTGTAGCATATGACATTAGTGACCACCTTCTCCTCCTGAATAATCTCTCTTTGGATTTTCTCAACTCTGCTTTCTTTAGATTCTCCATTTGTATGAATATTCCTTCTCAGTCTCTTTGGCTGTATATTCATCCCACTAGCTGTAGGTATCACCCAAGGCTCTGAGCTGGGCCTTCTTCTCTTCTCTCTCTATACTCTCATTTGGTCAGAAAATACAGGTTCAGTTATTATCTTTATGTAGCATAGTTCCAGATATATTTATCTGACCCTAGGCTCTCTACTGAATTTTAGCCTGGTATTTATGAACTCCCTATTGGACATTTCAAACTGAATGACCTATAAGCATTTTAAACTCAACATGTCCAAAACGAGACCTCATTATCTTTTCCCCAAAACTCTCCCCCTCTTCTGAATGTCCCTATTCCTGTCAAGAACACCATCATGCTTCCAAGTCACCCAGGTTCCAAATCTTAGTGTTCTTTCTCTCCTCTCCCCTTCATTTATCTAATCAGTAGCCAAATCTTACAATTTTGTTTGCTACAGCATTTCTCACATACATCCCTTTCTCTCCACTGACACAAGCCATCAGTCTAGCTCAGGTACTCACCATCTGTTTTTCAGTCTATTGCCTTAGCCTTTTAATTGGTTTCCCTGCCTCAAAACTCTCCCCACACCAATCCTTCCTTCAACTCAGCTGCCAAGGTGATTTTCCTAAAGTACAGGTTATCATGTCAGTTTCTTATGCTCAATAAATTCCAAAGGATCCATATTATTGCAAAAACCAAATGATTCTTCTTAACTTTACCTCTTCCTACCTTTCCAATCTTCTTATATTCTACTGCCTTCCATATACCTATTTACAGTTCCCTCACACAAGATACTCCACTTACTGATTCCATGCTCTCCCTCCTAAATTTCACCTCTTAGAATCTCTAGCTTCTTTTAAGACTCAACTAGAGTGTTCCTGTTGCCCCACCTCCAGAAGGTTGTGCCCTGGTTCCCCTAGCTGTGTTTGGCAGGGGCTGTCTTTGCTTTTTTCTTTTTATTTCCAGCACTTACCACAGTATCTAGCACTGAGTCAGTGCTTAATAAATGCTTTCTGGGTGACTGACTACTATCATCAATGGGTATGCAAGAGGGAGTTCATAACTGTATTCAACTGAAATAAGTGCACAGAGAAAAGCATTAACGATAGGCTCCAGGCACCCACACTTTGAATGTAAATTCCCTAATGGCAGGAGACTATCATTTTCTATCTTTGTACTCTAGCATTGAGCATAGGGCCTTGCACACAGAAAATGTTTTAATAAATGGTTTTTTAATTGAATTGTTCTGTATTAAAACAGAAACTATTTCAAGTATACACTTGAGGATCACAGGATATAGACACAGAAAAGGACAATGATAATTCTGTACAATGTCCCTCACTTTATAAATGAGGAAACTGGACCTAGGGACACTGTTATTTCCCTAAGGACACACAGGTATCAACAGAATGAAATTTGAGCCCAGATCCTCCAGCTCCATATCCACAGTTCTTTTCACTATACCAAACTATCTCTCATTAAATAATACCTTTCAAATCCACTTTCCTCTCCTTCACTTGCAGAAGTCAGCAACTATAGATGCACAATCTGGCATATACTAATATGCATATTTAATGTGTTGGTCAGTTTTACTGAACTATTTTTTTCTCTTTTTAATAATTGTTGCTTGTAGGAGTGGGAAGAGGGATATGTTCAGAAATAAATGTGATGTGAATATAAAGATCAAAAAATATTTTTAAAAAATTATTTCTAGGGATTCAAAACTCAAAAATATAAAGAATCCAAGAAAAAAGAGAGGAAAGGAAGAAAGATTTAAAGATTATTCTAAATCTGCAGTTAGTCTTGGCCAAAAAGAGAAATTTCTTTTTGTTGCTGTTGGCACTAAATATTGATAAAATCAGTGACTACTTAAGTCACTGATTCTAGAAACAAAACAACCTCCATCAAAAGAAACAGGATGAACAGACTAGAAGATTTCACTGTGTGAGGGAAACATCCAGTTAATACTAAACACTCTCAAACAAAAAAAAAGTAAATACCCTCTAAAGTTCACTTCATGTTACCCCCAAAAGCTTCCCTTTTGATATTGGCTTCAGTCAGATCAATTGCAGCCCTTTTAAAGACATCAGGTGAAAGGTATTTTACCATGTTTCAACTTTGTTCGTGATTCTAATAGCCTTTATATTGTTATTGCCAGAGATTCTTGACTGTAACCATATCCAATTTCCTCCCTCTTTGCTAGTCAGGGTACTACAATACCCCCAAGCAGCTCTGTTAACTTGAATGTCTATAAAGGTTTTCAAATCCCTATCCCAAATTCTTCTAAGTCCAAAATGCCCTCCTGTTCCTTACTGTTAGAGACTGTGTAAAATGGAATCGTCTCTCTACTCTGGAATCATTGGGTAACTTGAAAATGATCTTCACACTTTCAGGATCATCAGGGGGTGGCTCAGGCGGCAGGCATTCTGACTTCCGCTCCTTCTCCTCCTGCAGGTTCTGGGAAGACAAAGGGCTAAGTTAGTCCTTAGTTAAAGACCATTCACCATGAAGGACCAAAAGAACCTGATCTTGTAGTCAGAAGAAATAAAATGTTTTAGATTATTTTAAAAAGAGTCGTGAACATTTGTTCATATTCATAAGTTATTGTCCAAATTTAGCTCTTTCTTAATTACTATGGAAGTATATAGCATTGTTATAAAATATTGAGAAATAATATTTTGAAAGTGTTCTGGCCTGAGATTCTTGGTTTTGCTTCAATCAAAAACCTAGTTAGTCTTCCTCAAATAGAGACTTAATCATCTTCAGAGAAAAAAATATTAATTTCTTGAAACTAAGATTACTGGAGTTTGTCTTGTTTATAGTAACTAAACCAAGAGTGGGAATTTCTTTTGCTTAATCTAATCAGAAGAGGCTGTCTATTCACCTTTGGCCGACAACAGGGGAATGCTTAGAGAGAGTGGCTAAACAGGAAGTGACTGGTTTCAGAAAGACATTTTCTCCAAGGACAGCGTTACTATTGTTCTATATGGTAAGTTTATTGAAAAAACAAAACAAAACAAAAAGATCTAAACTAAAATTAAGTTCCTTTGTTTTACTTTGTTCTAAAATTGTGTTTTGTTTGATTACTATAAAATATGAATTAAAAACTGCTTGGGTCAAAATACAGAAACTTTTAAAACACAATCACAAAACAGTCTTTTTAGACAAATAAAGGTAGATCTAAATAACTAGGGAAATATTAATTACTTGTGGATTGGCTGAGTTAATATAATAAAAATGACAATACTATCTAAATTAACTTACTTATTCAATGTCATATCATACCAGAGTACTAATTTATAGAGCTAGAAAAAAAATATAAAATTTATCTGGAGAAGCAAAAGGTTAAGAGTATCAAGGGAAATGATGAAAAAAAAAAGATACTGAGAGAGAAGGAAGGGGGTGTAGCAGCACCTGATCTCAAACTGTAACTACAAAGACATAACTGTCAAAACAATTTGGTACTAGGTAAGAAACAGAAAGGTTGTTGTTTGGAACAGACTAAGTGCACAATATACATAAGCAAATGAGCACAGTAACCTAGTGTTTGGTAAACCCAAAGATCCTTGTTATTGGGGCAAGAACATACTATATGACAAAAACTGCTGGGAAAATTAGAAATTAGTCTGGCAGAAACCAGGCACAGACCAGCATCTCACAATGTATAACAAGAAGCTGAAAACAGGCATGTAATAATAAGCAAATTAGAAGACAGAAATCAGAATAGAAGAGTTTAAGATCAAACAAGAATTAGAGAGGGTCACAAGAGGTAAAAAGAACAGCTTTGATTACATAAACTTAAAATTTTTTTCTGCACAAACAAAACCAATGCAACTAAATTAGAAGACAAGCAGGAAATTGAAGAAAAAAATCTTTGCAGAAAACTTCTCTCATAAAGATCTCATTTCTAAGATATATATCAAAGTAAAAGTCAAAGGATATAAATAAGCAGTTTTTAGAGGAAGAAATCCAAGCTATCAATAGGCACATCAAAAAATACTCCAAATCATTATTAGAGAAATGTAAATTAAAACAACTTTGAGATACCATCTCACATGCATCAGATTGGCTAAGACGACAAAAAAAAGGAAAATGACAAATTACTGGAAGGAACGTGAGAAAATAGGTTCTTTACTGCACTGTTAGCAGAACTGTGAACTAGTCCAACTATTGTGGAAAACAATTTGGAAGTAGGCCCAAAAAGCTATTAAACTGTGCATACTCTCTGACCTAGAAATTCCACTACCCCCAAAGAAACCAAAGAAAGAGGGAAAGGATCCTATGCATATAAAAATATCTATAGCAGCTCTTTTCATCCTGAAGAACTGAAAACTGTGGGGATTCCCATCAACTAGGAAATAGCTAAATAAGTTATGGAATATGAAAGTGATGAACTCCCATCTGACTGTCTGTCTCTCATCTCATACTGCACTTGCCTCCAATCCTATCTCCAACTTCCTGAGGAAGAAAAGTGGTGACCTCCACTCAATGATGAATTCTCAAACCTGGTCATAACTCTTTACATCTCAGTGATCTAAATTTCTGTGTTCATTATCCAAACCCTATTCCTTACCTCCCAACAACCAACTCCTGTTCCCATCCCCCTCAACCTTCCCACCCCCAAATTTCAACCTAACTCTATACAGCCCTTCCTCTGTGCCTCCTGGAATGCCTGTTCCAAAAGCAACAAATTTTCCTTCATCTTAAATCTTTCCCCTTTTCACTCCTGCCAACTAGCTGTTATGAAATCTGGCTTCCTGCTGATGATACAGCCTGACTGGCCACCCTTTCCAGTACTTGTTTTACCTTCACTCATTCACCTTGGCTCACTTGTGAAGGCAAGGGATTTCTCTGGAACATTCCTTCCTCCTTATTGCCACTTCCAGGTTCTACCCCTTCTTCTATCACTCACTAACCTCTCTTCCTTTGAGTTTCATGTTATTCTTACCCACTATCCAATCAAAATCCTATGTCTACAGATCCCCAGGTCATTTCCTTCTTTCCTTCCTTAATAAGTTCAGTACCTGGCCCACAATTTTTCTCTCCTTCCCAAGTCCTGCCTTCAAATAATAGGGGACTTTAACATACATATTCATTTCTCAAATATACTATCCAATGGGTTTCTCTACCTACTCACTTCCCATGAGCTATTCCTTTACTCCACCTTCAGCCACACACACAAAGATAGTCATATCTTTGATCAGAAATGTACCATCTCTACGTTTAAGAATTCTAAAATCCCTTTATCCAACCATAATCTACTGGCTTTTTATTTCTCTTTCTACCTTCCCTTACAAAACTCTACTCTTCTTCTGCACCATGACTTCCAATCCCTTGATCCCTCAATTTTCTCCCAGGCTATTTCCCCTGCACTAGCCATTTTCTCTTCTTCTCCTCTCCATCTTTTCTCCACATCTTGACCCCTTGGTGAAACCAGTTTGACACTACACTCTCTGCCTCTCTTGAATCCCCTAGTTCTCTTGTATCATCAATTGTACCCAGCCATGCTTCAGCCCTGAATCACACCTATTATTAGTTACCTTCACTCCTACACACTTGCTGCTGAATGAAGATGGAGAAAATCATGCAACTGTTTTTGAGTGGATCATGGATTATGATACTACCTCAACTGAGCCCTTACTGCTGCTATGCAGTATCCCTTTATCAACTCACTATCCCAATCTCCACAGCAGCTCTTCTAAACCTTTTCATCCCTCCTCAAATCTCCCATGGCTCCCTCTCTTCCCAATCTCTCAGCTGAGACCCTTGCCTCATAGTTCATAAAAAAAAAACAAATCGAAGCCATTCAATTTGAACTCCTCTCCCCTCTTCCTTATCTCCTATCACTCAGAAGCCTTTTGCCATTAACCCTTCACTCCTGTCTCACACGCCAAAGTAGCCTTACATCTTATCAAAACTAATCCCTCCACTTGTACAACCAATCCCTGTCATCCCCACTCTTTCATTTATTTTCAATCTCTCTCTCTCCACTGGCTCATTTCCTAATGCCTACAAATATGTCCATGTCTCACCCACCTTGAAAAAACTCTCAATTGATTCTTCTGTACTGTGATCATCCTATATCTCTTCTGCCATCTCTAATAGGTAACTCCACTTTCTCTCTTCTCACGCTCTTCTTAACTCTTTACAACTGGGCTTCCAACCTCATCATTCCATTGAAACTACTCTCTCTAAAGTTATTAATGTTCTTCTTAGTTGCTGAATTCAATGGCTTTTTCTCAATCCTCATTCTCCGTGACCTCTCTGCACCTTCTCATACTCTCTTCTCTTTATGTTCAGGACACTCTCTATCCTGGTTCTCCTCCTACCTATTTGACTGCTCCTTCTCCATCTCTTTTGCTGGATTCTCCTCCAGATCACACCCTCTAATTGTAGTTGTGTCTCAGAGTTTCACTTTTCTCTTTCTATACTTACTTCACTTGGTGATCTCATCAGTTCCCATGGATTTAATCACTATACTGATAATTTGCAAATCTACCATCCTCCTAGTCCCTCCCTTAGGCTAAAATTTAGGAGTTATCCTAGATTCTTCATTATTTCTCACCCCTCTATAATCAAGCTGTTGCCAAAGCCAGCAGATTTCACCTTTGCCACATCTCATATACACTCCCTTCTTTCCTCTAAAGATGATGCCATCATTCTAGTACAGGACCTCATCACCTTACGCCTTAAGTATTGTAAAAGCAAAATGCTCTTCCTCCTCTGCTTCAACTACTTGACCTTCCTGGCTTCCTTTAAGACCCAACTAAAATCATATCTTTTACTGGAAGCCTTTCCCAATTCCTTCCAATTCTGGTGGCTTCCCTCTGTTAATTATTTCCTATTTATTCTGTATATAGCTTCCTTTGTATATATTTGTTTGCATGTTGTATCTGTCATTAGATTGTAAGCTCCTTCAGGCACGGATTGTCTTTTGCCCCTTTTGGAATCCCCAGCATTTAGCACAGTGCCTGGTATATAGCAGGCACTTAATAAATGTTTACTGACTGCTGATTGGAATATTATTGTGCTTTAAGACATGATGAAGGGGATGGTTTCAGAAAAATCCAGGAAGACTTATATGAACTTATATACAAAGAGAAGTGAGAAGAACCAGGAGAACAATTTATGCAGTAACAGCCCCATTTTAACTCTGATCTAGACAATGACCAACCACAATTCCAAAGAACTCATGTTATCCCCCTGCAGCTGTAAGACTTAGAGTGGCAACTGAAGTACATATTCTTCTCTCTTTTTTTTAAATTTTTGTTTGAACATGGGTAATGTGGGAATTTGTTTTGCATAAGTACACATATTTGCAATGAGCTGTGTGTTTCTGGTCTTTGGAGTAAAAAGAGGACAGATATGGGATTTTATTTTCAACTTGGAGTTGAAAATAAAACTGAATTAAGAAAGAAGGAAGGAAGGAAAAAAGAAAGAAAGGAAGAAAGAAAAATAAAGATTGTTTGGGTCAGAGAAAATTCTAATTAGCAATGGAACTTTTGTGAGTCTGAGCTTCTCCCCAAGCATGAATTCTTGTTTACTGATAAACTGTCTCTGAGAAACCTTGGCTAAAACAGAGAGTATGGAGTTTTTCTTCCTGTTTCTTCACTGTTAATAAACAGAAAGCAAAGGACTTGAGACATAAGAGAAAGAAATCAGAGTACATGAACATAGCCTAGCTGTCTATGCTTAGTTCCTAGGACTTTAAAAACAGTTACCATTTCTTGCCTTATTGTGGAGTTTACTGAGTAGATGAGTGACATGGTTAGACCTCTGGTTTAGGAAAATCACTTTAGGCGCTGAATAGAGGATGGAATGGAGCAGAGAATGAATTAAGGAAGGCAGACCCACCAGATTTGAGGTGATGAGAGAAGGGGGCGTACCTGAAAAACTTCGCAAAGGTGAAATCAACAGGCCTTAGCAACAGCTTAAATATGGGGAGAGAGGTAGTGAGAAATCCAGGATGACTCCTAAGTTGTGAGTCTGAGGAACTCAGAGGATGGTATTGCTCCCTACAACAATAGGGAATGTAGGAGAGGGAGGTATAGAAGAAAATATAATGAGTTCTGTTTTGAACATATTGAATTTAAGATGTTTACTAGATATCCAAGTAGTTTGAGTACTGGCAGGCACTATATCAAGTGTGTTAAGCTTCACAGGCCCAGAGACTTGTGTTGGTCAGAAGACAACAAAACTATCTAAGTGAGGACAAGCTTATCACTAAAGGATCTGCCTCTGGAAGATTAATTTTTTCAGCCACAGCAACCGCTGAAACCAACTAAAATGTAAAGAAAATACCAAAACTGATACAAAGTTTTTGATGTGTTATATACACTGTGCTATATATAGTGTTAGAAACAAGGGCACAAAAGTTCCTTACCCGTCGACGTCTCTCTTCTGCCATTTTCTGTTGCTGTACCTCTTCCTCCTTTTGTCGCTTCCGCTCACGCTCCTCTTGCTTTTTCCGTTCTTTCTCCTGATCAGCTCGGAGGGAGGCCAAGTAGGCTTCATCTTGTTGCTGCCTGAGCACCTGGGTCTGGTTTCTCTCTTCCCTGCAGATATGCCAAAAGGCATTCAATCAATTGAAGCACAAGTACTCCATCAGTGCCTCCTACAGGCTAAGTGTTGAGGATATGAGCAAAAACAATCAAGCAATCTCAGCTTCCAAGGAGTTTGCATTTTAATAAGGAGCCAACAAGTGTAAGAGAGAGTGAGTGTGTGTGTGTGTGTCTGTGTGTGCGTGTATGTGTGATACACGTGCATATAGAGCATAAATGTAAAGTGAGTCAACAGAAAATAGTTGAGCAGAAGGTGATTTGAGAAGCAGAGCAATAGTGGCTGGTGAGGGGACAAGACCAAGGTATACAAGATGTTTGAGCTGCATCTAAGGAAGTGAGGGGTGCTGTGAGGTGCGAGGTGAGGAGAAATCTACATTCTAGGTATAGGGGACAAAAGAAGAGTAATGCTGAAAAGAATATCTTTTTAAAATATTAAAAAAAAATTTCATGTCACCACGTGAATCATGAAAACTGAATATTGCCAAACACCAATCAACAGATTTTTTTACATGCCTCTTATGCCAAGCACTGTGCAAGGAACTGGGAATATAAAGACAAAAAGGAAATAGTTCCTATAGGGAAAAATAACATATATAGCATGTTTATATGTAAATATGCACAAAAGAGACAAAATATGAATTGCTCAGTATTAATCAATGTAGAGAAAGCAGCAGGATCTTTAACAGTACTCAAGTACTTCAACAGTAAACAAGTAGCCAACATTTGCCATACATTTATGTGGCCCAAAAGGATTCCTATAATAGCTGGCCCAAGTGGGGTTAGCTAGTACCTCTCCAAGCGTTCAGAAACCAGGTATGTCTGGTTTGCATCCATGATGAATGTCAGTTGGTTAATGAGATCATCAGGTTGAATGAGACCTTCTAACCGACCAACCACAGTCATTCTCCGATCTTTCAACATGATCATAGCTAGGAATGGATATGTATTCTCTCGCAAAGCTTGGGACACTAGAGGAGACCAAAGAGAACAGGATACAATTTTCAAAGCACTGTCACAAGTATCGTCATTTAATCCTCACAACACTGTGAGACAGGTGGGGTGGAATTTATTTTATAGATGAGAAAACTGAGGCTCAGACAACTTTAGTCACTTGCTCAAAGTCACATGGCTACTGGAGCTGAAGCTAGAACTTGGGTGTTACCAGGACCACTTTGAAATAAACAAGCCAGCAAATAATTAACTTTGAAGTACAGCATTCCACTCAAGCTCTTAAATGAACTTAGCTCCCATAACTACAACTTAAAGCAGAATCTTGGTGAAACCTCTTTCCTTAGTTCTCCCTTAAGAGTAGTGATGACATCACTGTTTAATTAATGAAGGTGATTTCTGCTCCATTAAGAAAGGAGTCTAACAGATTACAAAGCAACAGTTTCTCTTTCATGGAGATCCTGATAAGACAGTATCCCAAGGCAGGGATCTAGATACATGTAAATATTTAAACTTCAGAACCAAGCAAACTAATTGGCTAGAAGAGCAATATTCAGGCTTTAGGTTCTGTTTAATGACTGAAAGAGCTTTAATAAAAAAGAAAAATACCATAAAATGCCTCCAAAGATCATCTTCATAAATATTTCATTATAAGAAATAAGACTCTGAATAATAATTCTATTTCCACATCATGGCTGATAGCCCCATGATAGTACTCTGGTAACTCAATTACAACAAGCCCTTTACAACAACCAAGTCTACAGAACAAAGGATCTCTCTCATTACTCACTAGAAACACTATTAATATTCTCACACCTCAGTGATTTTGAATTTGAGATATTCCTAGCATTTTATTCTCACGACAATCATGGGAGCTAAGTGGGAAAGGTACCATGCCCTATTTGATAGATGAGACACCTAAGGCACAAGAAGTTTGGGTGAACTTCTTAAAGTCACATAGACAGCAAATGGCAGAACCAGCACTAGAGCCCAGGTCTCCAGACTTCTACACCTATATGCTTTCTACATGACAACACTGTGGCTGATCATGTGCTTTGACCTGGCAGCACCACTCAAACTATCTGACTGCTGCATCACTAACAATGGACCATAGGTACCTCCTTGTCAGCTTGCACCCACTCTTCTATCTCCATTTGCACTAAATTTGTTCATAGGGTATGAAGAACATAAGCGCTCCTTAATGTTTGGTGTTGAACGGAATTCCAGGTACAGGCAACATCACAAACTGCATCACTGATTCAACCTATGGGACAAGTTGGTCAGTATTTGAATTGTTATTTACATTTTCTGGAATAGCGATTTCTTCAACGTTGAGAACTCTAGATGAGGAAACTACCTCTACTAATACAGATCAGCACCTTCCTTGCAACTTAAAGTCTTCCATAACTGCCTAGACCACTGAGAGGTTAACTAATTTGCCCAGGATTACTCAGCCACTATATGTGAAAGGTGGGATTTGAACCCAGGTCTTCCTGACTCCAAAATTAGCTCTCTATCCACTATGCAACTCTGTTTTTTTGAAATGTAATTACAGAAGAGATTTCATGAGAAAGTTGATCCACTGTGGTAACACACTCTACTTTTTATCTCTTTATAACTATATAGTATCAGCAAAACAGTTCAATGTTCTCATGAAATCTTTTCTGTAATAATATCTTATACTGAACCCCTGGCCCAGAGGTTGAATCAATGAAACAACAATGCAGGAAAAAATATCATTAAAAATTCTATTAAGAAACTAATTCTGCTTGCTCAGGGTAATCACCACCACTGTTTAGCAATGGAGCAGTTTTGCTTTCACTGGGCATTACTATAATTCCAAAACAATCTCTCAGTGACAATAAGCACAGTACCTTGCATATAGCAGGCGCTTAATAAATGGCTACTGGATAAAAGAATCAGTCAGGAAAAAAATTTATTACGTCTATCCATTCATTTTAACTTGTAGTATTAACAACAGATAAAGGTGTAACACCTCTGAAATCTATAGGAAAACAAAATTTTTCAACTGCCAAATATTTTATTTCATGGGAGCCTGTAGGATCAGCACCTTTAAGAACATTCAATCTGTCATTATTCTGTTTAAACAAAGAGGAAAAAATTTCCTTGTCACCAGTCTGAGCAGAAATTAGCAAACATTATCCAAACTGACCTGTCTTACTAGTAGAAAAACCGTACTGAATATCAAGTACCATGAAAAAGTCATAAAATTATTCTATAGCACCATGATTTGATGCCTGCATAACAATAAACTTTCTAATATTGTCTTAGTTTGAAATGCCAAAAGCACAACTTCTGAAAATATATCCAGTGTAGTCAACTCTACTTACTTACACAAAACTACGTATTTTTGATGAATATCACGGCAGAGTTAAGAGTACTCACAAAACTATTTCCTGAGAACCACTCATATAGAACATGGTCTGGGTCTTCTAATTTGGGTAGGTGAATCATATGGCATTTTAGGAGAGCCAGAAAGAATTTCAACAGCTGTCTTTTCTTAAGTCCCGGGATATCACAGAGGGTAGATGAACTAATACTATACTGATACATCAACATTAACAGTGCTTCCCCTTGTCAAATCATACAGTGGTACACATTTTCTCTTTAAGATTATTTTAATCTTCCCGTATTTTTATTGGGGAAAAGAAGGCTGGAATTTATATTGAAGAATGGCTTGATGCCTCAAACTCTGTTGCTGCTGCTTCTGTCAGTCAGTATAAGGTATGGTGCTATGTAGTATGATCGCTCTTTGTCACTGCAGAGATCTGTCATGCCTTCCAATAACTGCAATGAAGTACAGGTAGCTGGCTATTCCTTCCACAGAAACACTAGTGCTGTCCCATGTTTTCAAGGATTATGGCAACGAGGAACAGGTGGTTGTCTGTCATTCCAGATAACAGTTATTCTATCTTCTGTTTCTCCCCTGCTAACTCTTTTCTCCTTGCATTTTATCAGAGCATCCTTTGATTTTCACTGTTCCTTTCCTTCTCCTTTCTGCTTTTTAAATTTGCTTTTCTATATTCTGTTACTTTTCCCATACTTCTCAAGTTTTCTATGAACACCAAAAGCTAATCACTGTACTCTTCTACACTGACTAGGTAACCAACCAACTACAGAATGTTGGATGCAATCTCTGGCTACTCCCAGTTGTAATTTTTGTTGTTGGTTTCTCAGGGGCCGCTTTGTCCCTAAAGAAGTGTAACAGTTCTTGAATCCCCAAGATTTTATTATAATAAGAATTTTATCTGTAGTCATTCATTTGGTTTAAAAGGAAAAAAAATTTATGGATTGATTTAGTGACATGGTTTTCTACTCTTAGAGATTCAGCCTTATTCTCCTAGGCCTTATGAAGCCACAACATAGCCAATGTACATAGGATTTGTTAAGTAATTAAGAAACCAGAACTAAGGGATTAGAAGATAAGAAAACTAGACTATCAAGAGCATGTTAAATGCACTGTTGGTAAACCATGTTCATAGGAAGTACCCGAAAAATAGCTTAATTTTTCTTCAGCTCTTCAAACCCTAAGATGAGTTCTAAGAAGATCTCAAACTAAGAGTCCCTGTTGTAAGTATCCCTAATGAATATGACCCCTCAAGGTATTCAGAGTACTTTAAAACATAATATATTGTTAAGAGTAGCTAGTGAAGAAACATCTTCCACGATACTTCACTAAGACTAAGGACAGGCTGATAACTATAATTTTATGCTGGGGAAACAAAACAAAAAAGGCTACACCAATAACGAAGAGGGATTTGTGACATTACTTCCCCTTCACTATCTATTCATGATAATACCAAAGGAAGATATTTGTTAAGTTCCATGAAGCAAATGAGACAAAGCAAGAGGCACAACTTACCCCTGTATCCCTCAGGTTTGTTTGTGGAACACGCCCAAAAGAGCATCCTATTGTTTATAAGGGAAACGACATCAGGTGAACAAAGAGTATTGCTGTTGGGAGGGAAGACACAAATATGAGAATAACACATTGACTAAAAACATAAGCTAAGGGAACAGAAAATAGGCGAGAAAGAAATCTGTTTACTTACCGACAAAAATCATCAGAATCTTGATGATCATCACCATGAAGATAGACCAATAGAAATCGAAGTTCTCGCTTGGCATCATTTAGTGCCTTTGTGAAACAGAGAACAACAACTAACTACACATGGCACAGTACATGTATCCTTAACAAAGTTTATAGGAAATATGAATAAAGGACTAAAACTAGGGAATTAAAAAAAAACCAAAACACCTAGAATAGGTGATTTACTTTCATATCTCTTTAAAAATCCCTACTAAATACACACTTCTACTTCTTATGCTTTGCTGCTTCTTGAATTAATTTTTAACATTCCTCAATGAAAAAAGCCACTAAAATTTTTTAAATTGCACCAACAACACAAAAGTAAAGAGAAGCTAATAGAGTTCTCAAAAAGTGCAGTCAATAAACACCTACTATGTGCCAAGCACTGTGCTAAATACTAGGGATACAAAGAAAGGCAAAAACATTCCTTGTCCTCTTGAAGTCCCTATTCTAATTCAGAGAATGGGGGTGGGAGTGGGGAGGGGAGATGGGTGAGGAAAGACAACAAACAACTGTGTACAAACAAGATTATATATATATATGCACTAGACAGATAGATACAAATGGTAAGTACTGTACTGTATTCTACCTCTGTCCCATTCTTGCAAACAAAACAAAGCTATTAAATGCACAACCGATGCAGCTCCCCCAGTGAGGGCATACTCTGGGATACACTGAAGGTATTAAGTAGCAGAGACTGTCAGTTACTTGAGGGCAGGGACCATGTTAGACTTCTTTGTAACTCTTACAGTTCCCAAAAAAGTTCCAGGGAAATAAATGGTAGGTAGGCACTTAAATACTTGTTAAATACTATAAAGAGAAGAAGTAGAAAGCACCATCAAGAATGAAAATGGCAGCAGCAAGCAGTGAAAGTGTAAGAGAAATGTGAAGCATGAGAAGAAAAGTGAAAAAGAAGATATTTTCCCTCTCCAGATATCCAGGCTATAGGAATCATGAACCAACCAGCAACCTTTTCTCCTCCCAGGGTGGTGGTTCTCTACTCCTTTCCAGATGTGCCAGGAATATGACCTTACTTAGCTTGATTTAAAGTTGGAAGAAACATTAAAGAACATCTACTTCAGCTACTTCATCTGACAGATGAGGGAACTGAGGCCCATTCTGGCGAAGAAACTTTTCTATGGTCAGAAAGCTATTAAGTAGAAGCAGTGAGATTTGAACTCTGATCTTCTGACCAAATCTAAAGATCTACTATAGTAATAAATCAGCAAGCATTTGTTGAGTGCACAGTATAAGCCAAGCACTGGAGATACAAACACCAGAGAGAGAGAGAAAGGGAGGAGAGGGAGAGGGAGAGGCCAGTTCAAAGCAAGACAAGTGATCAAATGCCACGTGCAAGGAACAGAGAGAAGGCCAATATGGCTGGACTAAAGAGTATGGGAAAGCTGGAAAGAAAGATTGAGACTGGGACCAGGCTGTAAAGAAACTTTAAAAGTCAAAGAGTTTATGTTTTATCCTAGAGGCAGTAGGGAATCATTGAAGTTTTCTGAGCAGGGGAATGATATGATCAAATCTGTGCTTAAGGAAAATCACTTTGGCAGCTATGCTGGAAGATGAATTATAGATTAGAGTGGGAAGAGGCAGGGAGATCAATAAGGAGTATTTCGCAACTGTCCAGGCAGGAGTTAATGAAGACCTGAACTAAAAAGCACTGGCTGTCTGAGTCCGAAAGATGCTAGATATGTCCTACAAGCAGAAAATGGCAAGATCTGGATGTGTGACAAAGGACAGTAAGGTACAAGATTGGGGAAAGGGGGAGGGCAGAGGTTAGGGAAGAATAACTGACTTTGTGTCTCTGCCCCCGTGCTCACACTACCCTGATTTATATTAAGGTTAATTCTTGAGTTATTTCAAAGCATAAAGATGCCAAGATATTTACCTAGACAGAATTCTGTCACATATTTACAATGATTACTAATGGCGGTAACCAGTTTTTCTTGCTGAGGAACCCAGATTTCTTAAATATTCACATAACTAATTAATGGATGCCTGGAGTATGTGATCTAAGTCATACTCAAATTGAACTGTAAATTTTGCACTGAAGAAGCACTTAAGAAAAAATAAAAGGGAAAGCTCTTCAGTTTTCCTCCAAGAAGGGATTCACATCAATAAAGTAGCTTTTGTATTGTCTCTACCACTGACCTGGCTGTATGTTCCCTGGTAGAAGACAGGATGTGTCCTCCCATATTTCTCTTCAAATATGTGCATAAATGAAACGATGTCCCCAACAGGGTCAGTTACCCGACTTCGAGGGTCAGGACGTATAAAACGAAGCGCAAACCTAGGGAAGAAGGACATATGTCACATGGATCCAATTTACTTAACTGTGTATGATATAGTCAGCTTAAGCAAAAGACATTATCAACCAGTTCACACAGAGTCATTCAATAGCACCTAGAAACATCACATCTGCCTGCTGGTAAGTGGAAATTTCCCTGTTCCTACAAAGAAGCAAATTAGGATCACAAATTCTAACACTAGTCTGATTAGACCCTATGTGCTTTTGCATAGAAAAATCAGAATCCCAGGGGTGAACATACTGTAAGAATAAGACAGTTTACAAGAACTGGTAAGAAAAAGGAAGAAGAGAGGCAGCTAGATGGCGCAGTGGATAGAGCACTGGCCCTGGAGTCAGGAGGACCCGAGTTCAAATCCAGTCTTAGACACATGTTACTCACTAGCTGTGTGACCCTGGGCAAGTCACTTAACCCTGACCGCCTCACCAGAAAAAAGAAGAAGAAGAAGAAGAGACAATCAGATAAAGCAGTGCTGGACTGGGAGAACAAAATATGCTCATTTTTGTTTACTCCACTCTTTTCCCAGTACTTCCTTTTCTTCTCATTTGTAAAAGCGTTCAGTGTATACACACGTACAGTATATATGCATGAAAGTGTTACATATTATCCAATCCAGTCAAATGATTGATTTAAATTTCAAACCAGTATCAACTTTCAATTGTGGTTTCAATTACTCCTTAATTTTACTCCTTTAAGGAGAAGAAAAATTGTCTTTGACAGCACACAGGGAAGAGGAAATAACAAGAGGAACAACTACTCACATCTAAGTAGCACTTTTAAAGTTTCCTTACAACAATCCCAGGAAGTAGTCAGTGTGAGTTTATCATCTCTACTTTAGAGCAGAAGCAACCTAGGCTAAGAAAGGTGAAGTCATCTACCCAAGGCCATATAGCTGGTGAGTTGCAGAGTTAAAACTCAGACCCTGTCATCTGACTCTGAATCCAGGTTGCTTTCTATTGAACCACACTGTTTTGTTGGCAGTTCCTTTTTAAAGGATTAGACTCTATAAGGTATGTGTGCCTACAACTTTTTTTTAAACTTCAGTAGACCCTCTATATCAAAAGCTGAGATGTCAATGAGACAGGGATAGAGTGTGTCACATAAAATCCAAAAATTGTTCGGATAATCAATAATATTAAAATTGGTAACACTCATCATGCAAGTTTCTTCAGAGCAAAACGTTTAAGAATGATAAAACTTTCCTAAAAATGGAAATAATTAACAGTCTTCTTGATCACTTGTCAAAGAGGCTGTAAAAACAATTCCTGCTTAGTGATGGGTTAGCAGAGCCCCTTCCACCTCAGAATCTATGACAAATAGGTAAACTCACACTAGTTTTCAATAAATTACAAAGTGATAGGATCTGCTGACTTCCTGGTGAGAAAAAAAATTACCCAAAACAAGGATGTAAGCTAGCAAGTTTGCAAACATTATTGCCAAGGGAGATAGCATGAAGCCAAAAAGCAAATCTATGAGGAATCAAGATGACAAGGCTCTAGCCTTGACATAGCCCCCAATCACCCTGTGTGACCTTGAACAAGGAAATTCCCCTCTTGTGGCATCAGTATCCTCAACTATAAAATCAGGAGCCAAATGACCTGGCATTTCCTGGTCAAAGGCCCCTTCCAGCTTAGACAATCTGTGTGCTGTGATACCTTCAACCTCAGGTGGTCACCTTCAGCTTCCTTCATTGAGAAAGCTTATTTGCTCTGCACTCAGTTCAGGTACTACCTGCACTTCTAGTTTCTCTTTAAAGCTGTGTCTTTATGACATGACTGAGGGTATGGGCAAGAGCCATTAGAAGTAGCTCAGGCAGTATAGTGGTCTAGGAGGAGCACAACAGAACATCATCTGAGCTAGGTGAATATAGTTAGATGAGCTGTTGGAGAAGTTTGGGGGTAAGAGGAGAAGAACTAGGAAAAGGTACAAAAACAGAGGGTCAGAGAAACTGAAGAATATAAAAAAAGGCTAGGTGGAATAAGAGTGATTTAGGTAATTGAGGGAAATGGAGAGACGCAGATAAAGCTAGTGGTTCTTTAAAAACTATATGTAAAAATCAATTTAAACAACTTCTCTAGTAATATATAACAATCACACACATGCACCATAAAATATTTTTGCATACTATTAAGACTGACTGAATAAAGCAATGAATTATATGACACTAAAAATGCAAAACTCTATAGTCCACATTGATTATGTACAATCAGTATACATATTAAATATAACTTATTTGTAGAAATCTCAGATTTTACCATGGTATCAACATGTAAATACAAAATACTCACCTAAATATATCAAGTATTGTGTAATAGGTAAATCGGAATGGAAGCATAATCAAGTAATAACCCCATCCCAGCAATCCCTGAAATGAAAAAATTTTTAAAGAATAAAAATACACTGAATTTTTAAAAAATCAACTTTACAAGTATAAGATGGAGGAGGTATGACTAGAGAGTAGATTATTTGAAAAAGATTTAGGGGTTTCAATGGACTGAACAAGAGCTAAATATGAATCAACAGGACAAATAATTTGTTTTATACCATATTTGTGAAAGACATAGCATAGCAGAAGGCTGGCTTTGGAGTTAGGAAAGACAGATTCAAATGCATCATGCATCCTGGTCGTGTGATCCTAGCTAGAAGCCATTTAACTTTTCAATGCCCCAGCAAACTCTTAAGACTAAGTTGTATAATACTTACAGATCTCCACTGGTAGAGTTTCCTTACAGATAGTTCCCTACACCAACGAAATCACAAAGCTGGACCAAAACCTCCTATATTTATACATAGGTTTTAAGTTCCTTGAGAACTAGAACTCTTTTGTTTCTGCTTTTGTACTGGCAATCAGAAGTGAATGCAATTTTAGGCTGTTACTAAAAGCAGCAGTGTCCAAAGTAAAAGTAACACAATATTCTGCTAGATTCTGCCCTGGTCAGAACACATCTGGAAGAGTGTGCTCAGTTCTGGACACCACATTTTAGAAAGAACTTTAATACATCAGAGAGCATCTTGACAAAGGTGACCAGGATGGGGAAGAGCCTTAAAATCACGTCACATAAAAATCATTTGCAGAAAGTGAAGATGTCTAACCTTGAAAAGAGAAGATTTACTCTAATATTCTAACATAGGAAGGTCAAATAGCTGCCTTCAAGTGTGATGTCATGTAGAAGACGGATTGGGTTGGTCCTGGTTGGCTCCTGGTAAGAGAACTAGGAGAGACAGAGGCTTATTATACAGAAAAACTTCCAAATCCTTAGAGTAGAATGGTCTGCCTTGAGACACAGTGCCGTCTCCTGTGCTAAGCAAAGGCTAGATGATCACTTGTTGAATATGTTGTAGACAGGTTTACTACTTAGTTACAAATTGGACTAGATCACCTGATAAGGAGTCTTCTAATTCTATGATTCTGGGGGACCATCTCCTAACCTTCAGAACAAAAGTGTTGACTCAATACAGTATTTCCACTCCTTGTTCTTTCACATTATTTCTAACTTTTAGCCACACTGATCCCTGTATTCTCCCTGCTCAATAAAAGTCCATTGTTGCCGTCCTCTAGTATTCTTCCCCTTGAATGTGATTTCCTGTTCTTGTCTGTCTTTTCCTTTATCTATGTGTTCTAATTCAAAAGCAATACAGTATATTGGGAATGGTGCTAATCCTGGAATCAAGAGACCCAGATTTGTCCAGAAAGAGACACAGCAGCCAAAATAATTTAATGCAATGAACAGAGCTAGTCTTGGGGTCAAGTAAATCTGAGTTCCATCCCTCTGACTGACAGATATTGACTGTGATCCGAGACAAGTCATTCAACCTCACAGTACCACAGAAAACTCTAAAACTAGAAATCACAAAGCAGGTAGCAATCTTCTTTAGCAGAATTTCCTCAAATTGGAACACTAATGCATTATTGGTGGAGTTGTGAAATGATCCAACCATTTTGGAGAGCAATTTGGAACTATGCCCAAAGGGCTATAAAAATGTGCATACCTTTTGACCCAGCAAATAGCACTTCTAGGGCTCTATCCCAAAGAGATCGTAAAAATGGAAAAAGGGGGGCAGCTAGGTGGCACAGTGGATAGAGCACGAAGGACCTAAGTTCAAATCCGGCCTCAGACCAAACACTTGACACTTACTAGCTGTGTGACCCTTGGCAAGTCACTTAACCCCAACTGACTTTAAAAAGGGGGGGGGGGGAATGACCCACATGTACAAAAATATTTTTAGCAACTCTTTTTGTGGTGGCAAAGAATTGGAAATAGAGAGAATGCCCATCAACTGGAGAACGGCTGAACAAGTTGTGGTATATGAATGGAATGGAATACTGAATAAAGAAGCATCAATCTGATAGACCAAGGCCAGCTGAGCTCATAGCACAAGGAAACACTAATACTGCCATAGTAGTATACCCTGGTGATGATAAGTGGTATCATGTCCCACTAACCCAAATGTTTTTGCGAAATTAAGTGTTTTACAGTGTTTTCCTGCTACACGCTAACTATGGCATGGACTCCAGGTATTCCAGTGGGAAATCCTCAGCAAGGACCGCGTACTGATTCCATCTACGTTGGTGAAAACAACACCCAGATCATGAATTGGTCATACCCATTCAACGTAGAAGTTTGGGACGCCCCTCTATTTCCCCTAATGAGAGTCAATTTAACTAGTTTTAATCTAATTGTAACTGCAGCAAACGGTACCAATATATCCTGTACCCTTACAAGTTGGCCACCTAGTCCATATTTTCCTAAAAGGTTAAGATCTGTAACATATAATTGGACACAAGTAAACTCCACCTACACTGTCTCACTATCACAAGCGGACGACAGAAAATATTTTTATTGTCATAACACCTCCAATGGGCTGTATGAAGAATATCTAAACCAATTAGTATGGGTTGTACCTGTGACTCCGAAACCTCCTGGAATAATTCGTGTCCCTCGCTCATGTACTAACACCTCTATCTTGCAACACAAAATAGTGTTTCATTATAATGTAACTTTTCCCTCTTTAGAAAGTTGTGTCAGGAAAAAAAAGAGCTTGGTATGATACATTACTTGGTGGTGCTATAAGAAATGATGAGCAGGCAGACTTCAGAAAAACCTGGAAAGATTTGTATGGTCTGATGCTGAGTGAAGTGAGCAGAAACAGGAGAACATCACACACAGTAACAGCTACATTGTGCGATGACAACTTTGACAGACTTAGCCCTTCTTAGCAATGCAATGATCTAAGACATCTCATGATGGAAAATGCTATCCACATCCAAAGAAAGAACTATGGAGTTTGAATGCAGATCAAAGCATACTATTTGCTCTTTTTTTTTTCCTTCTGTTTTGTTTCCTCTTTCTTGTGGTTCCTTCTATTGGTTCTAATTCTTCCTTACAACATGACTAACGTGAAAATATTTTTAATAGAAATGTATATGTATAGCCTATATCAGATTGCACGCCATCTTGGGGGGGGAGAAAAATTTAAAACTCAAAAGCTTATGGAAGTGATTGTTAATAAATCAAAATAAATTTAAAAAAAAGAATTTCCTCACTAGGAGTTCTCTTTATTGTTGAAATTACATGTATAGACTTCTCCCTTTAGGGCTTCTCTCTCACCCCTCCTAAATTAAAGCAACTGTAGGCATCCATCAATAGAAGAAGATTTCAGATGAGGTAAGTGGGAATCCTACTGTCCTCTACCCTGGTCAGATGCCACCTAGAATATTGTGTTCAGTTTTATGCATCACATTTTAAGAAAGACATTAACAAACTAGAACATGTCTAGACAACCACGAGGGCAAGATCACTTGAAATTCATCATATGATGAATGGTTGAAGGCACCAAATATGCTTTATACTAGAATAACAGAACCTCAATGTTAGAAGGGATCTGAGAGGTAATCTAGTCCAACCCTTATTTCAAGCATGAATCCTCTTTAGAGTATGCAAATTTATCTGACATCAAGCAGCATGCTCTGGATTAGTCAAAAGACTTTGATTCAAATCCTGATTCTGCTATTTACTACTTTCTTAACATTAGGAAATTCACTTAACTACCAAAACTTCCTCTACAAAATGAGGTGGTTGGATTGTCTTATCTCTACCGTCCCTTTAGTTCTATATCTCACAACAACTCATAACAACCTTCAGTCATGGGAAACTTGTGACCACCTGTGGCAACCCATTACATTTTTGAGAAGGAATGCCAGGAGCAGAACAAAGGTCTGTATACAACATTTGTCCATCTAATGAAGACCTTAAATACTGTCAGTCATGAGGGCTTGCGGAAAATTTTGGCAAAATTTGATTGTCCAGAAAAGATTGTCAGCATTGTATATCAGTTTCATGACAGTATTCTTGCCAGGGTTCTGGATAATGGCCAATGTTCTCGAGCTTTCTCAGTCACCAATGGAGTAAAGCAGGGCTGTATGCCTGCTCCCATACTTTTTAGCATTGTTTTCAGTGATGTTGTTGGATTCCTTCAATGAGGACGAAAACTGCATCACGGTTAACTACCACACTGACAGTAAACTGGTCAATAAGAAAAGACTACAGATCAAGACTAAAGCAGAGGGATAGTCAGTGTACGACTTTGTTCACAGATGACTGTACACTCAATGCAGCCTCTGTGGTGAGGCTGCTATGCAACAAAGTATGGATCAATTCTCTGATACTCATGCTAATTTTGGTCTAACAATTAACAACAAAACAAAAAACAAACCAAAAAAAAACAAACACAAAACAGATTTTCCACCAGCCAGCACCATACCCACCATATGTGTTATATCAAATGGAGACCATCAAATACAACCAGTGGTTACAACAAATGGAGAAATTTTTGAATGCTGTGGATAAGTTCATTTACCTCAGCAACCTACATCCCTGGGATGTACACATAGATGATTAGGTTGATACATGCACTGCCAGAGCTAGCTCACTGTTTGGGAGGTTCCAAAGGAAAGTGTGAGAGAAAAGAGGTATTAGACAACCTACCAAACTAAAGGTCTACAAAGCCACTGTGCTGACCTCACTGTTGTATGCCTATGAAACTTGGACAATATAGCAGTGCCATCCGAGGAAAATGAATGGCTTCTATTTGAACTGTCTTAGGAAGATTCTGAAGATCATGGACGCTGGGGCCCTTTTTCAAGCTGAACTGCCAAGCATTCAAACTCTACTGTAGACTACAGTGCAACTCCGATGGGCTGGCCACGTTTTTTCAAATGCCAAAAGTACATCTGCCTAAAAGACTATTTTTACAGTGAACTCACACAAGATAAATGCTCATATGGAGGTCAGAAGAAGCAATACAAGGAAGCCTCTCTAAAGAACTTTGATTGTGAGACATGGGAAACACTAGCACAGGATCTTCCAGGATGGTATGCCTGCATCAAAAAAGGTGCTATACTCTACAAGCAAAGCAGAATTGCAGTAGCTCAAAAGCAAGGTTTGTGCCCCATCTGTGGTATAGCCTTCTGATCAGCCAGGGTTGGACACAACGTACCTTGACCCCAAAACAGTGATACCATTTTGGTCCTCTTCAAGCACAAAAGACAATAACCAACCAATCTTATCTTGAGCTGAAATGTACTTTTTCTTAATTTCCATTCAATGGTCCTAGTTCTGCCAAATACAACAAGTCTAGACTTGTCTAAGGATCATAAAATTTAGAGCCTCTTAAAGAAACTTTAAGAGACTATTTAGACCACAGGTTCTTATGTTTTGTGTCATGGATATTCTCTGGCTGTCTGGTGAAGCCTATGGATACCTTCTCAGAATGTTTTTAAGTGCATAAAATGAAATATGTAGAATTACAAAAGAAACCAATTACAGTGAAATAGTTATTCAGAATTTTTTTTTAAGTTCACAGTTTTCAGGTTAAGAACTTCTGATCTTGAACAACAAAAGATTGTCTCTCAAATATTTGAAATGCTACCTTGTGATAGTGTTGGGGTGCTTGGGTGCTTATGCTTAGGTGCTTATGTTTGGGTGCTTGTACTCAGACCCCAATTTCTCCCTAGCCTCAGAAACACTGTCCCTTGATAATCATTTAAGCTCTGAGTGAACTAAAAACACCCCTTCCTGTGTCAAGCAAATTTCAGGACCAGATAGAGCTGATCAGTATTCTTCCAGTTTGTTATCACTGGGCCCAGGATGTCTGGGACCAGATACTCTCTTGAATAATGGGATTTTTCTTATCTTGAGTTTCAACTGAGAACTAACCTCTCCTTAACCACTCCCTCATCCCACCCTGATTCACCTAGTTAGCATATTGGGCACATGTTTTATTGTATTTTATCCTATATAAACTGTAACTGTACCTCTCTAAGGTTGCAGGATCCTTTAAGAATACTTGACCGCTGAAAAGCGTAACAATAAATCTTTGCCACCTTGAATTAAAGAATGCTTGAGTCTGTGAATTCCTTCCAGACGCCCTGTCCTGTACTCCGGTCTTTGAGGGGTCACAATCTCTCAACCTCTCAGACCGCAATATTAGGATAAATTTTGTTCTAACTAGGACCAAATACGTAAGAAATTTCAAGACTAACTATAGCTCAGTAAGAGTAAGAACTTCCTGAAAATTATAGCTGCCCAAAAAACAGAATGTACTAGGTAGGGAGTTTCGTGTATTAGGATCATTAGGATCCTTATAACTCTTAAGCTTCTATAATGAATATTAGAATTTTAGAGATGGAAAGGATCTCAGAGGCTGCTAAGACAGACCCAACAAATGAGGATAGAGGCCTTACCTAGAGATTTTTCATGAGTGAAATCCTCTACCTATTTGCAGACCATTCCCGTTTAGGACAGCTCTAATTGTAAGATAAGTTTTTGCTATATTAAGTATCTGCCTCTGCTCCCTCAGGCCAAGGAGAATAAATCTAATTCCTCTTTCACACGGCAGCCTTTGAAATACTTGATTTCCTTTCTTTCATTTGTTTCTTATGTTACATATATAGAATTGTTCAATAAAATTAGTAACATAAGCATTATGATAATTAGAACCTGTAGATAAAATGACAAAGAGTAATGCTGACATGAAGATGTTGTCATCAACTGGTTAATAACTAATGGAGTAATCTAGACCTATTTTTGGTTTGTTATGAAGGTACACAATTCCCATGAAAACCATAGCCCTGTTTCAATACTGCTGTGCTACAAAGAGGCTCTAGGAGTTCCTACTCTGACAACCACAAGTATCAAAAGTTACTACAAGGAAACTCAGTTTTCATATTCAAAGCACTGGCAGATCACGCCAGGAGAGGAAGAAATGGAATTGTAAATTTCATATTCTCTACTAGCCCTTAAGCACCCTAATTTGAATTTGCTCAAGGTCCCTGTCATTGCTTTCCGGTTATTCCCCAAGACCAACTGATAGAACAAAGACCCTGAAGTCTTATGCTTATACTTCTAGCAACAGTAACTTCATCTTGAAGAGACGTGAAAAAAAACCCACAAAAAACTGAAGCAACAGGCCTCAGATAAGGAATTGAATCTTAACAATAATTTACAAAATCATAGATTCAGAGATGGAAGGTACCTTTTGGCCATTTAGATCAACTTCCACATTCTAGAGTTGAAGAATATTTTAAAAGCATTTTCTTACCAATAAACCTCTGAGCTATCTTTTTTCTTGTCCAGCCCTATGATTTCACTAGTATGGGAGCTCTCAGTGTGGAAATTATCTCCACCAAGGAAGATCAGTATCTATCTATAACTTAGAGTCTCAAAGAGTTACCAGAGGCAGGACCTAAACCAAGTTCCTCCTAACTCCAAGACTGGCCCTCTATCCATTATGCCATGTTGCAAGTTTCATAGATAATGAAACTAATGTTCAAAGAAGCAAATCACATATCCAAAAAGTATCAAGAGATGGGATTTAAACCTAGGTCTTCTGATGCCAAGTTCACAGTTCTTTCTATCATACCTCTGAAGATTTGTTAAACAAAAGACAAACATTTTTGCTTTGGCTAAACTACAAGGCACATAAGAATAAGCCAGCAATATATTGCTAAAGGATAAGAAAATATCCCAAAATGACAGACACATCAAAGTTGAAGAAAAATTTCAGCTAGATAGCTACACTGCTTTCCTTTCAATTCACAATGCAAAAAAGAAAAATTGTAGTCAGGAAATCAACAAAAGTCCATTATTATACATTTTGGCTTTTTTTGCCCAAGGTTGTCACACAGCAAAAAATGCTGCTACATGAATGACCTTGTGAAATGGAGGAGAAAGAATATCCCCAGCTGCAAAATAACTTGCCCTTGGTTGTGGTCTTGAAACAACATAGCTGTAGATCCTGTGATCAGCTGTATTAACCTGCAGGGGTCGGGACGGAGGTGGGTTGAAGACACTTGGTACACCTTCTTGCTCATTCAGTCTGTCCTGTACAGCCGCCTGAGGAGAAAAACACACAAAAGCAAGGAGAAAAAGTCTCAATAAATTAGTCAACCATGAAAAATAAAGCCATCATGGTTTCAAGTTTCAAAATAGGAGGCGAATTACAATAGCTAACAATAATTGATCCCTAAGCCTTTCATTTATAAAAACACAACTTGATTCACATTCAAAGGCAAAATATACAACATAAAGGTTAAGCAGATCAATTACAATGCATTGTTTTTGTCCTTGTCTTTTGGCTTTTTTAAAAGTAAAATGAACTGAGATACATGTTTATAAATGATTTACCCTTCAATATTTCAGTGGATCTCTAATACTATCAGTGTTGAGTATTCCCTCTAAAGACATATATTATAACCTATCAACAACTTGTCTCCTATTCAACCTTCCTCATATAACATGATTTCAAGTGCCCCCCTGCTACTCCTGCTGACCTCCTCTGAACATGCTTCAGTTTATTTGTCAATATTCTTCATAAAATGTAGTACCTAAAACTGAACCCAAAATTCCAAATTTATTTTAACCAGAACAGAATACAGGGCAGCATTATTACATTCCTTTTCTGGGATACTACTCTTAACGTAGTTTGAAAAAAAAATTTTTTTTTTCACACAAATAAAGTCAGATCTAAATAACTGGAAAAACATCAGCTGCTCATGAGTAGGCCAAGATAATATAATAAAAATGACAATTCTAGCCTAAGCTAATTTACTTATTCAGTGCCACACCAATCAAACTACCAAAAAATTATTTTATAGAGTTAGAAAAAATAATAACAAGATTGATTTGGAAGAACAAAAGGTCCAGAACATCAAGGGAACTAATGGAAAGAAATGCAGGGGAAGGTGGCCTAGCAATTCCAGATCTTAAATTGTATTATAAAGTAGCAATCATCAAAACTACTTGGTACTGGCTAAGAAATAGAGTGGTGGATCAGTGGAATAGGTTAAATATGCAAGACACAGTGATCAATGACTATAGTAATCTATTTGATAAACCAAAGACCCCAGGTTCTGGGATAAGAACTCACTCTTTGACAAAAACTGCTGGGAAAACTGGAAAAGATTATGGCAGAAACTAGGCATAGACCAAAATCTCACACCATATACCAAAATAAAGTCAAAATGGGTTCATGATTTAGATATAAAGGCTGATACTATAAGCAAACTAGGCTAGAGCAAGGAATAGTTTACCTATCAGATCTATGGAGAATAGAAGAATTCATGACCAAACAGAAGACAGAGTACATTATGAAAAGCAAAACAGATAACTTTGATTACATTAAATTGAAAAGCTTTGCACAAATAAAGCCAATGCAACTAAGATTAGAAGGAAAGTAGAAAAGTGGGAAAGAATTTTTACAACCAGTATCTCTGATAAGGGCCTCATTTCTGAAATATATAGAGAATTAAGTCAAATGTATAAGAATACAAGTCATTCCCCAATTGATAAATGGTCAAAGGATATGAACAGGCAGTTCTCAGATTAAGAAATTAAAGCCATCTATAGCTATATGAAAATGCCCTAAATCACTATTGATTAGAGAAATGCAAATCAAAACAACTCTGAAGTACCACATCACACCTATCAGATTGGCCAACATGACAAAACAGGAAAATGATAAATGCTGGAGAATATGTGGGAAAACTGGAACACTAATGCATTGTTGAGGGAGTTGTGAAATGATCCAACCACTTTGGAGAACAATTTGGAACTATGCCCAAAGGACTATAAAAATGTGCATACCCTTTGACCCAGCAATAGTACTTCTAGGGCTATATCCTGAAGAGATCATACAAATGGGAAAAGGACCCACATGTACAAAAATATTCATAGCAGTTTTTTGTGGTGGCAAAGAATTGGAAATTGAGAGGATGCCCATCAATTGGGGAATGGCTGAGCAAGTTGTGGTATATGAATGTAATGGAATACTATTGTGCTATAAGAAACGATGAGCAAGTGAACTTCAGAAAAACCTGGAAAGACTTCTATGATCTGATGCTGAGTGAAGTGAGCAGAACCAAGAGAACGTTGTACACAATAACAGCCACATTGTGTGATGACTAATATTGATAAATTTAACCATTCCCAGCAATACAATGATCTAAGACATCTCCAAAGGCCTCGTGATGGAAAATGCTATCCACATCCAAAGAAAGAACTATGGAATCTGAATGCAGATCAAAGCACACTAATTGCTATTTTTTTTTCCTCCTCTGTTGAGTTTTGTTTCTTCTTTCTGGTGGTTCCTCCTATTGGTCCTAATTTTTACTTACAACGTTACTAATCTGAAAATGTTTAATAAGAATGTGTGTGTGTGTGTGTGTGTGTATACACACACACACACACACACACACACACACATACACACACACACACACACACACACACACACACACACACACACACACACACACACACATATATAGCCTATATCAGATTGTGCGCTGTCTTGGGAAGGGTGGTGGGGAAGAAGAGGTAGAAAAATTTTAAACTCAAAAGCATATGGAAGTGATTCTTGATAAATCAAAAGAAATTAATTAAAGAATTTTTTTTTAATTTATAGTATTAGGTTTTTTTTGGTAACCACCATATTACACTACAGACTCTTGCTGACTTTTCAACAAAGCAAAATGTCTGAATTTCTTACATGTAAAGTGGTATCAACCACTTATTGTAAAATGATTTTCTCAAAGTACAGAACTTTACACTTATTCCCTACTGATTTAGTCCTACAGGTTTTAAGGCCATTCAGGCTGTTATCTGTTACATCCTGATTCTGTCATACCCTTCCTAGCTCTGCTTCATTCAAAAACTGGTAGCAGCACTACCTTTTGAGTTTTCATTTGAGACAATGACAAAAAATAGTAAAGACAAGGCCAAGCATCCTTTCCCCTTTGAAGCTTTCCAAATAGTATCTGTCTGAAATTGATATAAACCCCACTAACAACATCAAACCCTCCAATCAATATTTATCTTCCTAGCATGACACAACATTTTTTCTAGTATAATTAGATGTTCCCATAGCTTCACATCAACTTAATTGAAAGAGTATGCAACCTGATGAAATGTTATTCACCTCCAGAGAAAAAACTGAGGGAGTCCGAATGCAAACAGTATTTTTTCAAACTTCATTTTTCTTGGGATGTGTTTTTGTTTTGGTCTGTGTTTTCTTTCACAACATGACTAATATAGAAATGTTTTACAAGACTGCACAGGTATAACCTATATTAAATTATCTGTCTTCTCAATGAGGAAGAAGGCAGAAAATTTGGAACTCGAAAATTAAAAAAATTAATGTTAAAAAATTTTTACTTCTTATTAGAAGATGTAAAAAAAAAGGATCATGCAACGCACCCAATGCATCTCTTCATCGTTGTCAAATATACTGGTAAAATCCAGATATACTCAATATGAAAATATTTCCCTAACCCTCTGAAAAAAGGGAAAGAGTTTGATTTGATATAACTTGTTAATAAAAATTCATGTTGATTCAGTGATCACTGTTACGTTTTGACATCTTCACAAGCCATCTAATTAATGCCTTCTAGAACTTTGTTGGGAACTGATGTCAAATCTATTTGATAATTTCTGGAATTAGGAAATCAAGACATTTGCCCACCTCTGGTCTTCTAGTACCTTCCTCATTTTCCAGTCTTCAAAATATTACCAGTTCTTTCAATACAATAGGATGCAATTTGTCTGGACCAGGAGATTTGAACTGATTTAAAGCAGTAAGGTGCTCTCTTCCTATCACCTAACCTAAACTTGGGCTTCAATTCCCCCTTAACTATGTTTGTTTCACCCTTTCCAATCTGAAGATCATTCTCCTTGACAGAGAAAACATAAGCAAAATAAGAGTTGAACAGCTCTTTCACTTTGTCTGTTCACATTACACAGTCTGACCGTAACAGTAGGACTTCACCTTCCTTGTAGCTCTTGTGCAAATAATCTGCACCCTCCCCTTCCCAGTCCTACTGGCCTCAATATTTTTTATGTTAAAAATAAAAAATTCTTCTTAATGAATCTTCTGCTTTAGAGTCTTTGGTCATGAGTTCATGCTTGTTTCTTTAAACTTTTCGAAGTCTACTTTCCTAAAGTCTAAGATACGTTTGTTGAGTCTCACAGTGGTATATTCTCTTTTCAACTACAGTTACTCGTTTGAGCAGTTCAGTTATAGTCCCCTTTCTTGGATCTAAAGTAAAAATTCTAAGATAACATGGTCACTTCATCCCAAGGTTACTTCCATTTCATCAAGTACTTCCTTTGTTGGCTAAAACTGAGTACTGAATTGCAGTTCCCTTTGTCAATTCCTCTGCCTTCTGAGGGATGAAAATGCTTGCATGAACTTATTAGATGCTCTACTTTTAACAGAATGGAACTTCAACAGACATTAAATGAACTCCCTCTATCCCCCTCCCATTCCGCCCATCACTACTACATCAATACCTTTAAGCCAGTTTTGTGATCTATATCAAATTAGCAGTCTATGTGGCTAAGTAGCCTATAGTACAGGCTCCACAACACTATTAACTACATTTCTTTGTCTTGCATACTCCCAACTTATGCACTAGTATGTATATTTGCGTGTGTGTGTACACATCTGTGTATACAAATACATATACATCCATATCTATGCACACATACATATCTATACATTTTTAAAATTCTGCTGCTACTTCTATGAAAACTTTCTTTTTGAACACTGTCACAGTCCAGTCATGAAGGTTCCATATCACTAGGTCCAGAAGATTCATGAAGTTATATTTATCTCCTTGAGTTAAAATTTCAAGTTCATTTTATTACCTATATTCTATGTATACAGATACTTGGGACAATATTTTTTTCTTTCCCTCTTATCAGATATTTTCTATTATAAACTGTTACCTCTTTCACCACTACTCTTGCTTTTAGGTCAAATTACTTGTCCTCCATATAACTTAAACAATCTTTAAAGCTTTATCTGGACTTGATTTTATCTTTCCTCTAAATATTCC